TTCACAGCAGGTCTTAACTTAGGAAGCGGCATCCCAATTATACCAAAGGTGAATGAAACTCTGAGGTCCTAAAATGCCTTCCAATTATCATAGGGAAAGGCACTAGGTGTAAGACACGAAAATTAATGGGATTAATTACATTCCAGCTGAAGGAACTTGCTGAGGAACCTCTGGCGACACCGCCTGACCAGGAGAAGGAGCACGTCCCAGCTGCTGCTGCCTGACTTGGAAAGCGCGACCAAGCGCTAGGCCCTTACTGGTCTCAAACATTTTTATCCAGGAGTCCTGAGTGAGCCCCCCTACATGGGCCTGAAATGGTCATTTAGTTTCTTGATTAGATGATATAAAAAAACTAATTTCCTTTGATATCAATTGTGTTTCCATGGGGGAACGATGCTCTGAAATCACTGGGCTGCTTTGGACACACCATTTTTTAAGATGTCTCATACCTCCTCCATTTGGTCTGCTTAATTTGCAAGTCTGAAGTAGGTCTTTAAGATTATGTTCGTTCAATTTTTAAGTCATCCTTTTTTTTTGCCCCCCTCTGAGACAAGGTCTCGCTCTGTCACCCAGGCTGGAGTGCAGTGGTATGATCATAGCTCACGGCAACCTCCAACTCCTGGGCTCAAGCAATCCTCCTGCCTAAGCCTCCCAAGCAGCTGGGACTACAGGTGCGCACCACCAAGCCCAGCCAATTTTTTTTATTTTTTATTTGTAGAGACAGGGCCTCGCCATCTTGCCCAGGCTGGTCTCGAACTCCCGGGCTCAAGCAATTCTCCTACCTCAGCCTCCCAAAGTGCTAGGATTACAGGTGCGAGCCACCATGCCCAGTTTTAAGCCATTGTTTTAAAGTGATTTAGAAAATCAGTTATATTTTTAATGGTATTTGAAATCTTTAAAAATTTTGATTAATCAAATATGTAAATAATGGTTAGAGTTTAGGAGAAATTAAGCTATCAAATTTATGAGTTAACTGAATGTTGAAGAAAACAAATTCATTGCTTATAAAAATTACTAATTTAAATAAAGATCTTCTAAGTTGAGCTTAAAGAAAATTGGGTTTTATAATTATAACCTTGGCAAGTTTAACAGCGATCAAACTATAAGTAATTGTAAATACTCCACGCCATGTACAAAGGCCTCTCTAAAGGAAGAGATGTTAACAAAGAAGCAGCTATTTTTTATGTTGAGAAATTGGCTAGTGATATTTTCCGTACTACAAATCATTACTAGCCATACACAATGAGGCCATGAGGACAAAGGGAAGGAATTCCCAGTAAGTACCTTACAGACAGTAAAAACAGAATCAATGTTTGCCAAATTAAAATGAATTGATTTGAAAACCTGGATTAAAAAAAAATCACAAATGTGTTCTCTTCACAGGTCTTATGTCCTTCCTAAAACAAAATCTATATTGAGAATGTATCCATGATTAGTCTATTCCTATGTCACTATAACCATTGCATCAAAGCATTTTAAAAATGTTTTCATACAATTAATATCTAAGATGTCACTGATATTATTACATTAGAGTTTACCAATTCCTTTCTTCATAGTTGATTGTATGAAATTTCCTCATAGGCTTTTAAAAAATAATACTGTGGTGTTGGAGGTATTAGTTCTCACAGCTTTTAATACATAGATAGGTATAGACAGAGAGACGTGTGTGGGTGCGTGTATGCATATATGCATGTACATGTATACATACACTTAAGTATCTGTCGCATGTATAACATATAAATGTGTGAATGTGTGTGCATGTATCCAGACCCACATCCACACATCTGTTTCTAGCGTTTGTCTACTGAAAAGACCCAGGCGCTCTGGTCCGCTGGCAGAAGTGAGCACATCTGGCCCCCAGATCCTGGCTTCTCAGTTCCCTGCCATTCTCCTCTGAAAGGAACAGCATGCTTTGGAGGAACGGCTGACTCCAGGTCTGGAGCAGGGAAAGGTACAGGATGAGCCTGGGGCATCTCCTTGTGCCATAAAGTAAGGAAAGTGCTCCAAGCATGATGGACTGTAATCTCTTTATTACAGGGACATGGCAAAGGACAAACAACCAGCTCCGAGGGCCTCCTGCGGACCAAATCTGTGAGAGTTTGACCAAAATAAGTCACGACATTAAAGGATATAATCACTGATTAAAAATCTATAGGCTGGGCTGGGCGCGGTAGCTCACGCCTGTAATCCCAGCACTTTGGGAGGCTGCGGCGAGAGGACCACGAGGTCAGGAGATCAAGACCATCCTGGCTAACACGATGAAACCCCGTCTCTACTAAAAATACAAAAAAAATTAGCCGGGCGTGGTGGCGGGCACCTGTAGTCCCAGCTACTTGGGAGGCTGAGGCAGGAGAACGGCGTGAACCTGGGAGGCAGAGCTTGCAGTGAGCCGAGATCACGCCACTGCACTCCAGCCTGGGCGACAGAGCAAGACTCTGTCTTAAAAAAAAAAAAAAAATCCTACACAAAGACATACAGACATATAGAGAGAAAGGGGCGGCGGGGAGAGTGCACACACAGGGCTGTGCAAGAAACAGCACAGCAAGCACAGGGCACATTGGTCTTTGACGGATAAGGATGAAGGGCGCACAGGCATCCTTTGTGCTATCCTTACAACTTTTCGGTAACTCTGAAGATATCTCAAAACAAAAGTTAAAATAAAAGGATCTTGGAAAAAGTATAGATTGCAACTCCTCTACTGACTGGCTCATGGCATTTCGCCACTGATGAGGACAGGCTTCTTGCTTATGTTGGAAGGCTGTAGATGTTTTATGTGTCACTTGTAAGTGAAATCACTTTTCAGCTGTAAAAATAGTGGTCATACATGAAGAGATACTGGGTAAACTTCCAATTCTTGCTGTCCTGTCATTCAGGAAACTGAGTCTACTTACTTCAGCTCTCTCAAGGAATAAGCACCTTCCTGAGCGGTCCAAGCATTGGTGAAGGTATGAAATGCTACCGCTTTCTCTCCAGCACTTGGGGCACACAGCTACTGTGCCCCCAGCAATGGCGGGGCAGGTGACTTCTTCACCAAACAGCTCCTAACTTCCACCCAACCCCACCCCACCCTGAGCTTCTCTGTCTCGGCACTCAGCCCAGCATCTCCCTCTTCATTCCTGCATCTAACCCGTGCCAATTCATGCCTCCTTTTCCTGGCAACCCTTCTCAGATCTGCTGCCAGAGCTCTCATGGGAGACCCGCATTGTTATATCAAGAGTACAGTTTCTTCGTTTAAGTTTTCAGCTTTTTTCCACTGCCATCCACCCTACAGTTTTCAGCCCACATCAATGTTTACAAGGTACACTGACTCTAGCTCAGCATTCATGTTTTACGGTGGGTAAAGAAGCCAAGAGAGAACAAAAGCTTTGGCCGTGGTCAGGGTCTGCACAGAGCTGAGACTGGAACCCAGCTGTCTCAAGCCCATCTGAGCCCAGCCCTCTCTGTTAGATCACACTGCTGCAAAACCAGCCACAGGGGCAGCTGTGCGTGCTTCTGACCTTCCCTTACCTCCTGAGCCCTGCAGGAAAAAGACGGTGTTCATCTATTTTTCACCCCCACCAAAAAAAGCAGCCTCTGTGAAAATAGTTCCTGCAATGAACTCCTATGTGTGAAATTCAAGATCTTCAGAAAGATTGCCTGACTGGGCCGTCAAGGTTTAGGCGGCAGCCCCTGGCACTCTCTCCTCCGCCGATGAGCATCACTGAGCAGGCATTTAGAGCAGGCTCCACACCAGGTGAGTTTCTGCCACACACCAGCCACCCACCACACCTCGCGTGAACTGGTTTCTATCGATTCTACAGCATGAGGTGCATTGACATGGACGCCGCGACCATCTGACGTGTGAATGCATGGATCTATCTCTGTGTGTGTGTGTGTATCTTAGTCATAATAACACTAAGTGGGGGAAAAGACTCAGAAATAAAGGGAAAAATCACAGGAAAAAAAGGTCTAAAACAGGGCAGAAAACATCAACAGAACGTTTTCTATGATGAAAAACGAAAAACTTTCAATAATGAAAGTTTTGAGTATGTAGCTCTAAGTTTTAACTGTCTTTTCTGCTTTCATGAATAAGAAATTCTAGTGAAGCAGCCAAACAAATAACAAAGCGTGCACCAAGCCCAGGGTTCTGAAACAGCAAAGGTGCTCTTTCAGTTTCTGTGTCGTGTGGCCCACTGGCCGCCATCTACAAGGCATTCAGATGGCCCCAAAAAGTCTTCCATCTGTAAAGAGGTCAAGAACATTGCAAAGGAAACATTTACCACCACTTCAAAGAGCTCATATGACGGAAAGAGCTTTCTTGGAAATTTTAAAACAAGTTGTTTTCCAGGTACTTTAGAGAAGCAATGTACTCTGTGGGATTGTGTATGTAATTTCTCTGCAAACAGGCATAAAGAGGAACTCAGACAAGGAGGCAAGTCAATCTGACGTGTGCAAATGGGGAGAAAGTGGTGCTGGGGTCCTGGCATTGTCGTATCTCCCAGAAAAAAAACTGAGGCAAGAAGCAAAGCAGAGACTCCCAGCCTGGGCAATGAGAGAAAAGGGGGTGGGCCGAAAAGAGCTGCAGTCAGCAAGATGGGAGGAATTCTGACAGAGGAGTCAGCGTTCAGCATTTGGAAGGAGAATCACCGCGTGTGTCCCCCTGTGGAGTGCAGCCCCCGGGAAACACCCTACCTCCAATACTGCAACCTCCTGGCCATTGCGCAGCAGCCGGAACGTCAGGGGATGTTTAGAATCCAAACCCGGGATCACCTCGCAGCCACGGAGGGGAATAGACACAATGTGGGTCTTCAGGTCGGTCCTGTCCTTGTGGAAAATGAGCTTGTTATCCTTCACTCGGCACCAGCGCTCCCGCCAGCGGCTGTTGGAGAGCACGTTCAGATAGCCTGCGGGGAGACAAGCCACACGTCAGCCGCCTC